CAGGGACTTACAATACCTCTGCATGCAATGTAGGTGACTATGACCTACAATGTCGTGTTAAAATCTGAAACATGAAGAATTTGGACATAAAACAGTTCTGCATTCAGGCGACGATATGGTTTCTGTGGGCACATGTCTTAAATATTCACGATGCAGTCTATTATTTAAATCTTTATTATAATATATTCAACTAGGCCCTTTGACAAGATGAAGCATGAGAAAACATATTGTTTTGATTATTAATTGGAAGTTTTATAAAAAAAAACAAAATTTTACTGCCAGCATATCTGCTATCTAGATATATGGAGTACTGATAGATTTCATTATACTCAGCTTTTACCTAACTTTTCCGGCTTTTAGTTGTTTGAATGATCAATGCATGGTGGTTAAAAGCGCAAAATTTACTTCTCCAAAGATGTACATGATCACTCTGTATATTTTAACATTTTTGGATTCTACTTTCATAACTTTTTCCTATACAAAGGCCATGTCATGGTGATAGCAGCTTTATATCTGATACCCGCCAGGTAAAATAAGGGCCTATTATTATCATGCATGAAGTTTTTGAGTTATATTAAGTGTAAATTGTACATACATTCTTAGTTTATTAGAACAAAACCCTTTTCATTGAATCAAAGCAAGTCTAAGTTTACATAATCAAATTGAACAATTAAAGATGGATTTTATAATTAAAATATGAGTTATATTGGGTACGTCAAAGCATGACAAACAATATCCTGAATCTTAAACTATAGAACGGGCACTGAGTGTCAGCTTAGCAGATGAGTAAACAACAATCAATTATCTTACTAATTCACGCGTAGTAAAAGTGTTACAAGGAGGTGCTGTCAAACTTAAGATGGCCACGCTCGACAATAAATCACATTGAGAATGCTACCAATAACCTGAATCAAACATAATAAATAGTACATCCTAGATAATAATTGCGTTAACGGTTATCCTCTAAAGGTCTAAAATATCCCTTTCTTGCCAATCTAAAATTAAAATGCTTGAATGATGATTCAATATCTTGTAATATGTGCTTCCCTACACCCAAAAACACTAAATATATCTTTCCTACATCTTGTATGGTAGTAGTATCATAAGCTATAGATAGCTATCCGCATATATGTCGAATTAACCGCCGTCCGGTCATCGGTGGCCAGTTAAACGCAGCGCTGGAAGTGTATAATCGATTGTTTCGCATTGTGGATACCCGAGAGCTGCTCCCAACGGTAGACCGGCAGATTATTGCTGGTATTTTGTTTGCGCTTTACTTTCGGTTTTCCATGCAATGTTTGCTTTGATTGCTGCGAAAGCTCTTTTTCACCAGCTCGTCTGCTCTCTTTTTTGTTTAATCTGGTTTAACTAATGTACTTTGCGTTTTCCATTCTCTATGATTTATTGCCGCCGACAGCTACTGATATTCCATTCATTTGCTTTATTTATTAATCTGTAATTATCGAATACATTTGTTCTTTATTTGCACTATGGAATACGAAATAGATAACTATCGGGACGTGGAGACGACTGGAGTGGATACCAGATGAGCTTACAAGAAATCAATTACCCACCCCTTATAGACCCACAAGCTGAAGGGTGTATCTAGAGGCATAAGGAACAAAGTCATTGAACGGTTAAGATACCATAACAGGAATTATTGGAAAATATTACCTGTAAGCAAGTATGAGCAAGAATTTGTCATGAGATCGTGTTCAAAAAGGTTAGCAGAATAGATCCAAGTGAGCAGAAAGCATGCTAGCAAGATACAGTGGCCTGAAATTCTACCCAAAGCAACACCTGCATAATGAAGACCTCAACTGCGAACAACGTGGAAGAGGAACAAAGTCTGGCTCTCATGACTCTCTTGTAGTATCATTAAGACTAATTTGTAATTACAGGTTAAACATCCATATTGGGAATCTTCAGTGGCGATGCGTGACTGTTCCTAAACTGTAACCAAAAAAGTTTATTTTGAACCTCCCAAATATAAGTTTTTGCTTATTTTAGGTATTTTATTTAAAATATTTTTAAATTGAGGTAAACATTCCTGGTGTGAGCTTCTGGGGCACTTGATATACCTCATCGTGTTATGCTATGACTAATCCAAGCCGTCCGAAAAACAGTCGACATTTCTAGATGTTCGGAAAATGTTTAATTTTTTTTTTGGTAATGAATGTTAACAATCCCCTGTAATTTCCCCTATTGTCAGAGTCATCCTCTTCAAAATGAACGGTAATTCCTGTTTTGCCAAAAAACATACGGTATCTAGAAGTGTGCTGCCTAAAAGCTCGGTTAAGACAACTTTCGATTCTTGTTTTATTTATTTAAATCGTTGACTCCGCTGCTGGTCTACCCATTTTTTTTCTGTATAAAACAGAAGACATCGCCAACAATACAATCTGTTTTTTGCAACCACATAGCCAAGAGTTTCCATATACCAAATTAATTTAAAATATCAAACTACGTTCTTTTATTCCCTTTTAAAATTATCTGAAACAGGTGTTGGTCTTCCACTTTCAATCATCTCTTTTTTTCCTTAAAAATTATACAAGGAGAATGATTTTTCAAGTAGTTGATCGATTACGCAGCGACACTCATCCATCTTTAATTGCACGCACACTACAGCCGGTAACCAAAACGGCTACTAACGAGTGAGAAGTGAGTACCCAAATCAAAAAATGGTAACAAGCCCACATAATAGTCGAAGCGCCCCACGCACTCGGGCGGCCGCGATTAGACACGAGCCGGTACCGGCGGTCCCCGACAGACTACCAGGTGTATCCATAAATGAAAATGGTAACAACCGACAACCAAGTCGAGGCGAGTCACCTTCATCGTGTTCGCAAAACCTAAACACTATAGGGCGCATTATTTTCGTGGGGCTAATTTGCTATTTACTGAATTACTATTACATATCGCTGTTGGTAATCAAATAAATGAAATTATTTCACAGTACTTAGTCATAAAATATTTATTTTTAAGATTTTTAACTGTTACCAATGGTAACAATGGTTACATGGACGCTTCGCCACTGGGAATCTTGAAATCAACATACGAACTAGGGGTATTATTGTTGATATTCTCACTATTTTAAACTGTTTTTTCCTTTCCGGTTCAGGATGACATGGCTTGGCCACTATGTATCGTTTCGTGACACCTCCGACCAGGTCTCCAATGCAAGTCATAATAATGATCGATACAACCAAATGTAAATTTAACGACCTTCCAAGGTTACATTACATATCCCTATTCAACTTTAAATGGACTAATCAGATCCTGAACAAAACGATTATTTTTGATTTTTTTTATGTACTGGAGATTAGTTATTTTAGGCATATGCGATTTATTAAAATTTTCATGAAGAATATCCGCTTTTTATTTTTGGATTAGCGTTAAGCTATCTATTGGCCATGATAAAAACGTGAAAATGAATTTCAGTACATAACATACTGAAGGAGTATCCAAATAATACAATTGATACATATATCGTAACTCCAACCCTTTGCTTAATTTAGCTAACCATGAAATAGTTATTTACCTAACAAGTGCAGAAAGTGACACATTTCAGCAAGTGTTAGATATAAGATTTTATCTAACAGAGCAGCGCGAGAAAATAATATACGTCGAACTCTAAGTACTATGTTTTACTAGAAATTTAATAATTATTGTAAAATCAACATCATCCAAGAACAACATCAGTAATTCATTTATAATATTTATTAGCAATAGTTATAAGTTATAAGTTAGTTTATAATACTTATTAGAACAGTTATTTGGATTATGAAAACTTATAGGCATGCGTGCGGAAAAGTGCTACCTTCTGTACACATTATGCGTGTTGAAAGTGAGTACTTTCCGCACGCTGGTAGAAAATATTGTTTTCCATCTGTAATCAAAACTTTATAAGAAATAAAAATAGTGTCCTACGGTTTGCACCAATTTGTAGGTTTTGCGTGCACTTTCTGGGTAATGTCAATTTTGTTATTGATTAAACTTAAAAAAATTCCTCTATTTAGTAGTATACTTTCAGTTCTTTTGAATAAAAGTCCATGGAAGTCGATAAAACCAGTCAGAAGTTACTCAACTTTTTATAAAACTACGAAAAACTCTATCAGAAGTGTCTCATAATAGTGGAAACTTATGAAAAAACAATTTGGGAAGCTGAAAATAATTTTTCAACAATTATGCATGACCACTTTGGTTATGTTGTTATATATATTTTTTAATCTATATTCCTAGGTTGCGACATTAAGCTTTAATCCGAAATATTGATCCGGCTACCAGTTACTAATACTTCTATCTGTTACACCATTTGTAAATATTAGTGGGTAGACTCTCGAGAGTGATGGATTGGAAAATTTTCTGCAAATCCCCTATTAATCATTGAAGGGTTGTAAGACATGAGATTTTCCTTCGATAGAGCACTCAAGAGGATCAATGTGAGGTGTAATTACTGACTCAGATGCTACAGCGACTTTGGCGGCGTTAGGATAATCACCTTCTAATCTTACATTCAGCCCTAGCGAGGAGCTGAGTGAAGGCGGTTCTATACTAGATAGAGAACTAGTCGAATCTGAACTTCAGCCGGATGGGAATTTGCAGGAAAATTCATTTGCTCTTGATATCTGTTTCCCCCAAATGTGAAAATCACCAAAATCTATAACACTAATGTCAAATGTTAGATTTGAAACACTACGAATACTATATTTTTTGAAATATGAATCGTCAGACACATGATGTAATCAAGATATCAGCTTGGGAGTACGTGATCATTTCATCGGCACTTCGATATATCCTTTACACGTGAACATTCAGTAAATCTACGATGCTAAAGCAAAATCTAAGTTTTGATGTGCTACATTTACTTCATTGTCCCCACCAGAGTTCCTCAGATACACGATATAGATAGCTTAGAAAGCAGGAAATACTAACAGTATGAAATAAAACTATTGCTTGTGAGGTCTTTGACTACTTTATTTGTACTTTTCCTCTTAAGTCATGATACTAATGCAGAAAGGGTAGCTTCGCGATTATTTATCTGCTTGAGAAACCTTCGAACAAATGATTTGAAATTAGAATATTGTATTGTATATGAAGACGACATTAATGGAAATGGTCAGTTTTGAAACTCGCTTACCTGTCCTATTATACACATCAGAAAATCCTTAAAGAGTCAATAAGCGCAAAGACAGCCATTGGAGACTGCGACTGGCGACAGTTCGCAAGGCTGATGGCATAATAGAAACTTTGTCATCGTAACATACTGAAGTCCAAATTTAGACAAAGTATGAAAAGCACAACGTGCATGTCTCTTAGTCGGTGACATACCCTTTTGAATTCGAATTTGAATGCTCTATTCGTCACTGTCTGCTAGAGCTATTATGTAGAAATCATAAAAAACGTCAAAAAAAAAAACGACGAAATGTCATCTTGCAGACTGAGTAGTTTTCGGTGTTCGCTGACGTAAGCAATACATACAGCTGCAAAACGAAATCACAACAAGTGTACAAAAGCTAGTGGTAAGTAGAGATCTTGTAGAAAAACTTACGTTATGTCACAAAAATCCTACGACATATCAAAAAAACATCGATATAATGTCACTTAAGATACGTAATACCCGTGCCGTGCGGGTCATAGGATCTTTGCTCTTGGCTAAAGTTGAAGTTCAGGAGGTCTGTCAGGTCTGGTTGCCCAGATACCAGACGTTAACCAGAACTCGAGGATTTTGAAATAATTGACCAAGAGAAGTCATTGTCCGTCAGAGCGGTCCGTGGGACCTTCGCTCTTTGTTAAAAGTATCGTAGGTCAGTAGGTCTGTCAGGTCTGGTTGCCCAGATACCAGATGAAGTCAGGGAGAAAGATAGGAAGAAGAAAGAAAGGAAGGAATGGGGATGAGCAAAAAGGGTGAAGTGCACCGGTTAAAGGGATGCCTTGCTAATGCTAGTAGTCTGTTATTTTAAATTAATCCAAAATATAATTTAGGAATTTGTGTGTGCCAAAAATCGTAATTTTGGTTGGACCTAGAATTGTACGATTTGATTTTGATCACAGTGCGAGACGCGGTCTTGTGTAGTCTACTGACTCACGCAACAGAGTGTTGCTGTGCGATTCCGCTTGACTATAGAGAAGTGATTTCACGATTTTGTTCATAGTGCGAGCCGCCGTGTTGTGCACTTATTTGACTGTGTAGTCTACTGATTTACGCAACAGTGTTGTGTGCGATTTCGTTTCAAATTAACGTCGTTGCGATTGATGTTTATTATAGTCGTTGGGTAAGGCATCTGAAGGTCTCAGTGAAGTTCTGACAGTTATAGGTTTTCAGCATGAGTGCTAATATCATTACTCTTCTGTTTCAGTTCTAGGCTTTGGCCACCGGTCACGATTTCCAGTCTCTGCCTCCACCCAGTACAGTATCTATAGGCGCGGTTCTTCAAGTGTAGGTTAACTGTAATTTTACTGCTATCCAGAAGGCGTCTTCTAATGTCAAAAGCAAACACGGCATAATGTCACTTTTCAAGATACGTAATACCCGTGCGGATCAACAGCTATGGGTTGGTTAACTAGAAGTTGAAAAACGAATGTGTTGAAAGCTAACAGTTAACTTACAAGTTATAGTTACCAAAGGTGAAAGTTAACCAGCAGGCAAACAAGGTTACGGCTAAGTTGTAAAATAGTGGATGCAACGTAGTGCCTATTTGTGACTTCTATATCTACAAATAAATCTCAGTTGTTGTATGGTATTGTTATAATAGTAGTCATAAATAAAATCGACAAAAGTATTTCTCAAGTGCTAAATTCTAAATTTAGGTTAAGTTTAACATTATAGACATTACTTCTATGAGAAACCTTAAACAAATGATATGAAATCAGAATATCAGTTTGTGGATCGGTAATCACCCCATCCATACTTAAGTAGAGGAAGACTAAGTAATACTTGGTTCCTATTGAGCTTGACTCCGATGACGTTTATCAGATCAATACGAGGTCTATAACCTCTCACTGACGTCAAGTAAAGGTCATTTGGGGTCAATGCCAGCGTTAGGTTCCCTCTACTTACTTTCCCTAAACATGTAAATCCTAAAACCCATGATACGGAATCAAAAGTTTGGCTTCGCAGATTCGTTACGCAAATAAAATATCTCGACGTGACGTATATTTTCCATCGGATTTCCAAAGCGACCGCCGTGCGCCCGTGCGACGCGGCGTGAAAAGCTTTTTTTCGGCCACACTTAATGAGATTGTGGATTCCATTAGCCCCACAGCAGTGCATGTGAGCCTGTGTGCGCGCGAGCGAGGATAGCTTTGCTGAAAAATGCACACTACTTGATGTATTTAACCCCACTATTAGGGTTTGCGTTTCACCTCAACACACCACCACGATGCACAATACGGTGGAAGCGTGAGTGGGAGCCAGTGAGAACTGGAAGCGCAGTGTTAACGTTAACCCGCCATACTACCCACCGACAGTTTTGGCCGACCGACGGATCGATTTTATGCATCGGCTTGTTTTATATACTACTGCTGGATCGCGAACACACAATTCTATGAACAAAAATATATACTTTAATAGAAGATAAGAAGTGTAAACATCTTACTTCATTCATGTTCATGTGTACTAAGCTTCTTCAGATCTCAGAAATTAGGACAAGATCATCTATGGGCCCTCGCTTATGCGGGTAGTTACGAAAACTCGGGTAGTTCGTACCCTAATGTACTGCGTTGCAAGTGTAACTGCTCGTTGGCGTTATTTACTTTCTCATCTATGTCGGAGTTGACCAGTATATAATTTGGAAGAATGTGTACTATGTGTTGACATACCTCATATGAATGAGAAGAAATAAACGTTAGTGACATAGGTTAAAGAAATTTTTCGACACTAAATTTATCGAACTCTGTCTGTTCTAGTGGATAATCGAAATTGTTTGTTCTTTGGTATAGATTTCATTCTTTAGTATGTATTTTTCGCGCTGTATTTATGATCTTTGACGTTAATTTCAACTAACCCTCGTTTTCTGACTCGCTATACCACGGGAATATATCTGTTACGGGCAATGACGATAATAATACTGATAAACACAGGATTTGTGACATGACTATTTTTGGGTGTATCTTATGTATTTTGAGATCCTTTAATAAGTCTAAAATAGAATTTTTCTATCACCCATAGGTATTCGGGAACCTCTACTTTTATGAATTACAATACGTAACATGTCATATTGCTACATTTCTCGGCGTTTATGCGTTGACGCAGATATGAATGTTAAGACCTGACTATTCCTGTTTATTATATGCGAGCTCTATGTTTAGAGAGCAATTGCGTTTATTAGTAGACTAATAGCAGCCGAGTCAGTTACGTTTTCTGTGTTGAAGAGTACCGAGATGCTCTGAGTACTGCTAATTTTTGTTAAAACGGTGTGTAGTTTTTAGTTTATTGTGATCGAGACTAGCTTTATGGACAATGCCTAGAAATTGTGTAAATAGTGCGAAAAGTTTTTGTTATGTGCGCGAAGGGCTAACTTTTAAATCCCAAAAACGTACTTTCACTCCCCTTGTGTTGAAAGCATACGAACTTTATATTGGAATTAAAGTTCGCGACCAAGTTAAACTATGTATACGTATATAAATATCCACCTGTTACTATAGCGCACGCAGTTCATATGGAGGAATCATATGAAAGCATGCGAGTTCTGTTAGAGCATATCCGTTATAATGAATATGGATGGGCCATAAATGCAGACTTAAAGGTAATACCCCTTCTTCTTGGAATGCAACTGGGATATACCAAATATTGTTGTTTTCTTAGTGAATAGGACAGTCGTGCTCGAGATCGTCATTATGAATAGAGTGGCCACTACGTCAGGTATTAACTCCCGGCCTCAAAAGCATTGCTCATGAACCACTAGTTGATCCCAAAATCCTGTTGCTCTCACTTTTGCATATTACGTTGGGACTGATGAATTTTTGTGAAAGCTATGGATCGAAATGGAAGAGGGTTTTTGCATTTAAAACAAACATTTCCCAGACTTAGTGAGGCAAAAATTAAAGAGGGCATATTTGTGGGTCCACAAATACGGAAAATGATGAAGTATGATGTATTTAAAAGTGCTCTAAATGAAAATGAATTACGAGCTTGGAATGCTTTTAAATCAGTTACTGCAAATTTTTTAGGCAATGTGAAGGCGGATAATTATAAAGATATTGTGAGTGAACTAATTAATGCTCATAAAGGAATGGGATGTAACATATCTCTAAACATTAACTTTTTGTATTCTCATCTCGATTTTTTTCCGGAAAATTTAGGTGCGGTAAGTGATGAACATGGTCAGTCATTTCTGCTACGGAAAACCGGTATCAAGGCAAATGGAGTGTCAATTTGCTTGCTGATTATTGCTGGACATTGTTAAGAGACAGAAGCAGCATATCGCCGTGAAACATCGACAACATTCTGAAATAAATGTTTATTCGAGTGTTTATTAGTTAGTACTCTTACACACATATCCTTATATTTTACGAGTATAAGCAGCAAATAAAACCGTGGGTGATAGAAAAAATCGAATGCTATTCCGGCTTTTTGGATACGTTTTTCATAATAGCCACCTTATTTTGTCCATGTCACAAAAAATTATTATATACATTTTGTATGTAATTGGTCATCGACGTTGATGGCAGCGCGTTGACGTGAATGTCCATTATTGCAGGCGGGCAATGTGGATATTCTCGTTTTCACGCCTTTATACGGCCATTCACCTTAATGGCCACGAAGGGCTGGGTAATATTGATATAAGGATTAAGGGAATAGAGATATCAACTGTATTTGTAGTAACACAAAAAAAAACTTACAACGAACAACCAGAACAAAGGAAAAATTATAATTTGAAATTTGAAGATGACGTTAAAGTTTCCACTTCCTTACGGTTGTTATATTCCTCAGTGTTTGAAATATGATTTGCTGTCATTTTGTTTAGTGTGTGTGTGACTTTCCATGAATCGACGGCACATTTCATACGGATTCCATACCGATTTGAATGGAAAAATTAACTCAAAATCGACACAACTACCAGTAGCTCTGTTACCACATTGTGTGTAACATAATCCTTCATTCGTCTATGTCACCATTGACCGTTGCTTGGACGGTATTGACGTCATTGACCGTAAGATATCCGTGATCGACAAAGTACCGAGAACATCCTCAAGATGAGTTTCTTGGCATTCGCCTTAGGCTTGTTGTTTGTGGCAATCAAAGGGTCCGCCGCCTTGCATGGTTGAACGAGGACAAACACAACGTCGGACGGGTTAGCCCGGACGAAACCGGAGCTACCATCGCGGTGTGTGCTACCGCTGCTGCCTCCGCTGCCCCCAACCGCCACCGCGGCATCGCTGACGCCACGCTAGTTAGCACTT